CATGTAGTCCTCCTTGATGTAGAGTGCCACTCCTCCCCCTGTTACTGGCCATATCCTAGCAAATTCAGACGGCAGTACATGTCTTCTGACTAGGGGAAAGCTTCTTGCTCAGAAAAACCCTCCCTGCCTTTCATAGTCTTCTCGCTCTCCATCTGGTAAGCTATGACCACTGCAGTGGCAGAAGCTGAGGATTCTTCACTGGCTTTGGATCGAGCATCAGCTCTATTCACACAAGTTCTGCAGGCCCAAATCATATAGTTTTCTCGCCCTCCTTCTGGTTACTGGCCACGTCCTACATCAGCATGAGCTGGACAAGTTCTGCAAGTGCATTTCATCCATTGCTGCACAGGGCTTAGGGTGCAGGTGGGGCCTTCCACTAAGGAAGTTGAGGCTTGAGTTTCTTTTTTAAATTGCGGAGGCTTTCTTCTTGGTTGCTGGCCAAGACCTCCAGGGTCTGGGTAGTAGGCTCTTCACTCCAGTGCCCCACCTCTGCCTTACATCTCTCCATTGCACACTTGTAACTTTGGAATCATTGCTGCCCATGAAGCAAGCTGTGTTTGGGAGCTATGACCACTGCAGTGGCAGAAGCTGAGGCTTGAGTTTCTTTTCTCAATTGCCGAGGCTTTCTTTTTGGTTGCTGGCCCAAATCTCCAGGGTCTGGGTAGTAGGCCCAGGCCTGCAGGCTCTTCACCCCACTCACCGACCTCTGCTTTACACCTCTCCATTGCACCCTAATAACTTTCCAATCATTGCTGGCCACAAAGGAAGCTAAGCTTTCTTCACTGGCTTTGGCCTGAGCATCAGCTCGATTTGCACAAGTTTTGCAGGCCCATTTCAGAGTCTTCTCGCCCTCCTCCTGGTTACTGGTCATGGCCCAGCAAATTTGGACGGAGGTACATGTCTTCTGACACCCACTCACCACTCTGTCTCCTTGAGTTTCTTCTTTGACTTTTGGAAGGAAGGAAGATTTTAAATAAATAAGCATAACAGAAAGTAGTTTAAATAACAGAACATAGTTTAAATAAATAAGGATAACAGAAATTAGAAAGTGCCCCCCAACCTGAGGAGGCACTTTTGGGACCATGCCTGGGTTCCCCCCACTTGACCCATCCATCTTCCTGCTGGGATATGTTCAGTAACCAGGAAGGGCATGCAGGATGCCTCCTACTCCACCACCCACCTGCCCATCTACCTGGGGGCCCCTCCCTCCCTCCCTAAGCTTTGTGGCCAGCAAAAATTCCGAAGTTATAATGTAATGGAGAGTAGCATGGCCTGACTCAGCCAGCCAGCCAGCTGAGTCAGGCTAGACATACATCTCCACCTAAGGTGGCCCCTAGGGGACTGTGCCTGGGGGCCCCCACCAGAAGGGGCCCCTTTGGGACCAAGCCTGGGCCCCCTCTCAACCTAACCATTTTCCTGCTGGGACATGTTCAATAACCAGGAAGAGGGTGCAGGTTGCCTTCCTCCCTCTCCCCCACCCCACCCACCCATGGCCAGACTCAGCCAGCCAGTTGAGTCCGGCCGTACATCTCCACCTGAGGGGGCCCCTAGGGGACTGTGCCTGGGGACCCCCACCTAAGGGGAACCCTCCCTCCCTAACTAAGCTTTGCAGGTGGGCATATTTAGTCTTCTTTCTTGCAAGAACTGCTGGCTGCACACTAGCACTGGCCAAGCATTCGACCTCCCTCCATCTGATAACAGCCCACCCTGCAACTTTCCAGTAATGCCATGGCTCCATAAAAGTCATGTGGTTATCATCTCTCTGAAAAGCACCCACTCACCCTACATTGGACATGCATGCCATATAGACCAAAAGTAAAACACTGCTGGGACATGGCCAGGAACCAGAAAGGGCCAGTAACCAGGCTGGCTACCTGCCTGCCTCCCCCGTTCTTGTTCTCCCACTATGCAGCCCTCCATCCATCCATATCATATCAAGGGATTACTCAAGGGACCTTGGGAGTATATTGTGAATTGGTGTTTTATCGTATTGTATTGCTTTTGTTGGCAGTGGCTGTACTTCAAAAAAACGTAATCACCAGTTTCCTACCAACGGCATTGTTGAGTAAAAAAAATGTCTATAGTGTTTTAGCTTTATTGTGATTTCTCAATTGAACTGATTGCAGTTCAATTTATTGTGAAAAAATAAAGATGTGAAACAAAAAATTCTAATTTGTACTTACTCCTACTTGATTTTGGGCATGGACCTGGGAGCGGGGCAGTGGTCTGCAGCCGGCTAGGAGCAGGAGTGCAGTAGTTTTGCAGGCTGAACACAAAGCTGGTCATGGTCTGTATTTCAGATTGGTTGGCCTCCCCTCCAGGCATTGTAATGATATGTCTTGGGATAGCCATCTGCTGCAGAACTTCTGGCCTCTTTATAGGGAGCAGAGTGCTTTTTGAAACCCTGGCCTTTGGCTAATTAGCAGCTCCCTGCTTAGCTGAGACCCATCTGATGAGGACATGCCTATACCTAGCGTACAAGAAGGAGGTTTTACAAATTTCTTGAATTTGAATGAAAAGAAGTTCTCTCACAATGATACTTTCACTGAATACACTTGATTCTGCAGAGGCCTAGAGGTAGCTGAAGCAATTATCTTGGGCTACCTTGGAAATGCTCCTCATTTCCCTCTCACCTTCTCTCTGGCCTTTGAGAAGGCTGAGAGGAGAGATATGGTAAGGGAGGACAAAGCAATCCTGACTGGGGGGGTGAGGAGGAATGGGGGACAGCTATCTGCAAACCCAACTCCAAAAGGTGCTGCATGTAGGGTTTTGTAAAGAAAACATTGCATTGCAAAGAAAGCATTGGGAACAAAAAAACATTTTTGCATCGCACCTCCCATAACAGTACAGCCTGCAAAGAAAAAACTCAGAAAACGCAGCTGTTTTGGAGCTGCGGCAGCAGGTGTTAACCCCAACCCCCCACCCGCTTGGCAACCATGCATATGAAATGCATTATAATTCATTAAAGAGCTATTAAAGTCTTTAAAGACTTGCTAAAGGCTAAAGGCCCTGGGAGGTCCATGCATGGAGAAGTTTTGCAGATTGCCTGCTTGCTGCTGGGGATGGGTGGGGTTGTTTAGTCTTTTTTTCTCACAAGACATGCTGGCTGCACCACACCCTAGCTAGTACTTCACAAGCATTCAACCTCCCTCCCTCCCTCCGATAACAGTCCACCCTGTAACTCTTTGCAACTCTTTCCAGTAATACCATGACTCCATAAACCGAACCCCCCAAGCACAGCATCCCCACCCTGAGGCAGGCATGGTCTCCGAGAACCAACCCAACCACCCACACCCCCAAAGAAAACATGACACATATATAGAGTAAATAAAACTTTACTGAAAACCCTGCAGCTTTAACAATAACTATATACAACTTAACAGTATAATATATATGCAAAATGTAAATTTTTTTAAAAAATCTGAAGATATTTCTCTCTACTTTCCTCTTCATTATCTTCATTCATTACTGGCCTGTGGGCTGGTTGTCACCCCCAGTAAGTTCTGCCTGCAAAAATTTTTTGTTAGAAGAGGGAAAAAGGAAGAAGTGGAAGAGGAGGGGGGTTTGGCGCACTGTCGAAAAACTGGACTTCTTCCCCCCCTCCCCACACACATACAAGGTCAGTGGGACATATTACCTAAATATCGCCTGGGATGCTGCATATCCTGGGCATCAGGTCTGGCAGGCAATGTCCTGCCCCTGGACTTCTGGCTGTGGTTCTGAAATGGACTGTGATGAGGTTCAGAAGGTTTGCTATATTGAAGGAAGTCATGTAACCACTCACTCCAAAGTTTCAAACTACTTGCAAAAACCTTACCATTATGGTGATGCTGCAGCTGTTGTTGGGAGCTATGTCCACTGCAGTGGCAGCACACACTGGGGGCATGCAGGAGTTACAGGTGGAGGGTACATGGGTGGGGGAGGAGGACATACACTATAGGTGGCAGAGGGGTGGAAGAATTAAGAGGGGATAGAAAATGAAGGGATTATTTGTCTCCCCCACTTTAAAATAATAATTGGTCTGAGTGGACCTGTCCCGACCTGAACTGTGTGCTGTGAGGGAGGAGCAAGGAGTGAAGGAGGGTAAAAAAGAACACACAGTTGTACCTACTGGCTAAAGGCCGGAACACAGCACCCTCTCATGGTGAAGGAGATTAATCAGAAATCTTTGGAGTCTCTGGTTGTTTGCATGAACAAATTCACAGTTGGAGCGGTGTAACTGGAGAACATCGCAAACTAATACATCTCCAAGTAGTGTTTAGTTTAAGGTGCTAAATGGACTTTAGAGTGGCGGGAAATCCTGGCTTGTGTAAACACGAACACAGTTGTGTCAACGTAAATGGGAAATATCATTTCATCTACACACACCCTAAAACCCAAATTCTGAGCACTCCTGAAGATCTGGATGTACATTCAGTTTGTTGCAGAGTTGCTGAAAGTAGGGTGGATCTCAACATAGTATATAATATTATGTCAAAAAGTAAATGGCACGCTTTAAGTGATCCCAATGTGTGTAGAGGTCTGGTGTTATTCCTCTGTGAATATTGATTGATAATACTGATATTTTTAAATGGCTGTATATCTTCTTATATTTTATTGACTTACATTTTTCAAATTGGGGATTTTAATATCTTGTTAGGGCAAAAAATACAACACCGACAACAGTCTTTATTCAAAGTATATTTAAAAATAAATTATCTCATAGTTTGTACCATTTATTAATTTTTAATAGCCAGCCATCCTAATATATATACTTCTTTCGTAAAGCAATTCAAAAATATTTACTTGCTCTTCATATAATTAAAGTATTGATGATGGATGTATTGTTTCATGTCTAGGTATATATATACAGTCCCTAACATAACTGGGCTCTGAACCTTGGTTGGGACCCCCCATTTATACTACCAAATAAGTAATTATGAAGCAGATATTAATATAACAACTGAAAACCATCTCTTTCCAGACCTACAAGCATGTTATTTGAGTCTGTAGACTGGAAATGCTGGTCTTATCACTAATCTGAGCCTCCTGGGTGATGATCTGAGTACCAGCCTGGAGCAATAATCAAATGAAGGAATGACTTATCCCATGTTTCAGGCTGGAGAAAAAGTGTTGGTTGAAAAGATACAAAGGATGAAAGGGGAAGGAAATCCAATCTCTTTGTAGTGTAAGCAGATCAGCAGAAAAGTATTGCTTGGGGAATGGATAAATAAAGGGAGGACATTTGGCCAACAGGGTGTGGGAATATGAACACAAAAACCATGGGTTAAATTCATCCCTGGGTCTCAGTAAGGCTTGAAATAAGAGGGGGGGTCTTTGTTTGTAGATTATCTCTAAGTTTATTATAAAAGATGCAAAACTCACAGGTCTACAGTTTTTCACTAATTGAATATTTAAGTATGCTAATTACTTTAAACCTGAAGTCTACTCAATTGTGTTTTAGAGGTGGATTTTACATCACAGCCACTTGGATGACAGCAATGTGGAGACACATTATCCCTT